CCGAGACAAGCATGCCACCTTGCCTGAAGTTCTCAAGCTTCTTTCTCTGTTTGAGACGGAAATCCGGTGGAAAGCACCAGTTGAATAATTCACGAAGGAAGTTGGGAAGATCCCATTCATGAACATTTAGAGCTACCATTGTACTATAGAAGCTTCTAGCCTTTCCGCCCAAAAAGTGGCCACATTTGATGACTTGGTCTTCTTCCGGGATACCTGCTTCCTTACAATACTGTTCGAAGTCCTGTACAAACTGCATGTATTTATCAATATTCTCATCACCATAGTACTTGCTCGGTTCAGTTGGGTTAGGCTGACGATAAACGGTACGTGTCGATACAGCCTTTCCCGCGATATCGGGAACAACAGGCCCCGAAATCTTTGGCGGCTGGCGGTTGGTAGGCGGGAAATGAGGTCCTCTTGGTAAATCCTCATCATCCGAGGAATCACTATCAAATGGGTCATTCCCCCCACCTCCACCTCCCTGTCGAGCAAAGAACTGCCCGAGTACGCTATCTTGTGGGAGTTGATTAGCTGGTTTTAGCGCTTCGGCTCTAGCCGCGTGGGTGCGCGCTTGTTGGCCGACCTTAGTGATGGCGCGTTCGAGTCCTCTTGACATGGGAGTGGTTGATATCCCGCGTGTTGGAGCAGGAGTCGTCTCATTGGCTTGTACTGGCTGTTCTGGGGTTTCTCTATTGTTCTGCGCGGATGCGGTTTGGAAGCTAGCCTTTATTTTCTCACGTAACGCTTTTGTGTGCTCCTTGGCCTTCTGATACTCAGCACGTAAATCTACATACTGATGTTCAGCTGGTTCCTCATGAGTTTCTTCACTTATCTGATGTGTGACTTCTTGCCCATTCTCGAGGACATCTTCCAGCATGACTTGCTGTGTGTGAATGTCTAGCTCATCTTCGGGGATATCAACGTTTCCCCAGTTCGTTGGGTCGATTCCTTTCCCCTTCGACGCGGTCGAAGGCCCATGTCTCGGTATTTCCTCGGTGTTGCTATCAATAGCCCTTCTGCGATCCTTTTCGCTACGGACTGCTCGCAGAATTCTTTCTACGCCGTCTCGCGTCTCGACGACGGCTTCTATGGCCATACGCAGTTCGTCTGACACATTTTCATTATTTTGGTACCTAGTAACTGCATCTGAGCTATAACTTCGACGACGGAACAGGCTCA